AGAAGAAAACAGTGCATATTCTATATCATTTAATACTTAAAACTGTATAAAAACAAATATATATCATTCAAAAGTTAAAAAGACATGAAATACTAAAGAGTCTAAGTTGCAATCAACTATCTCAAATTTGATCTTTGTAGTCTTTGTGTAGGATAATTGCTGGTATCTGGAGCAGATTCTTTTGCTATGCGGGTTCCATCAAATTTGCTAGCAACTGTCCCAATTACTTCACTCTCACTGATCGCGCCATCATTGTTCTTTATTTTTCCGCATTGCCATCAACCTAGTTGGAGAAATTGAAAAAGAAACCTTCTTATTATAAAAAATAGGTATTATAAGAAAATACCAATTTCATACCAACATTAGTCATAATTTATACAAAAAAAAAATGGGTGATTTAACAAACTACAATCAATTCACATAATTGGACCACTGATATCATACCATTTTTTGATAAAAATAATACACAATACTTAAGTCAGCTTTCATACTAACAATAAATCAATTTCATACCAATGTTAAAACACATTTCATACCATATTCATAAATCGTATATTAAGTCAACTTTCATACCAATATTATTCATGTTTCATGCCAGATTAGTAGACATAATGAGAATAATTTGAAAAAAAAATAGATTTCCTCTAAACTGTGTACCAACTTCATACCAGATTTAAACAAGTTTCGCACCAAATATAAGTAATACATCATACCATTTTTATACTAATTCATGTCATCATTAGACAAAATTCATACCATATTCAGATTTAAACAAGTTTCACACCAAATATAAGTAATACATCATACCATTTTTAAACGAAATTTTATACCAATTCATGCCAACATTAGACAAAATTCATACCATATTCATAAATCATATATTAAGTCAGCTTTCATACCAATAATATGCATAATATAACAATTTTAAAAAAAATCTACTAAATTGATTTAACCATATCCCATGTAGTAAAAAACCCAATTAACTTTTGGAGGACACAACACACACTCAACAGTACTTTCCAAGAGTCCAAACAACATATATAAGGTTTCAAGAACATCTTTACCTCCTATAATAAACTCCAATCTACACTACACACGGCCATAAATCTCCCAAAAACATTAGCAAAATCAATAAAGATTCGATTTTTGACCATTCCCCACGTAGTAGAACTCAAATCAACAAAATTCAGAAAGGATCAACCTCAAAACACCTCTGATTCACCTCCATGAAAATGGTAAAATAAACTTTCTTGCAATACAATTATCAAACGGGGTTTCTCCAAAATACTAAATTATTGAAAATTACAACTTAGAGATCTACCCTTTTGTTTTGATTGTATGGAGAATATATTTCTCCTAATCAATTTTTAGATGTTGAAAAATCGGCTTCAAAGGAGTATGGATGAAGAATTTCTGTTTTTTTTAACGTGGGATTGACGTGGGGTGAGGGATTTAGGTGGGGTGTAGGGGTGTGACTTGTAACTGTAAAAAAAGAACAGTAATCAATGTAAATCCCTATAATTGTGTAAGAGATAATTATGGGGTATTCTTTATTTAAATAATTTAATAATAATATAAAATTATAAAAAAATACTTATTTAATAAAGTAAACTTTAATTAATTTATAAATAATTAGTGATATGTTATAACCCATAATTAAACTGTTATAAGCAAAAAAAAATTAAAAGTAGGTTTTTAAAACCTGTAATATTTACTCTTAAATGTGTATATGGGGTGATTTTAGTTATTAAATTTCAAGTTGATCATATTTGTTTTGTGATGGCAGTTATTTTTTATGAAATTGCAAAAAAAAAAAAAAAAGTTTCAAATGTAGGATCTTATATTTATTCTTATATTTTTTATAACCTTACAAATTAAATAGCTGTTGTCTAACATTTGCAATAACTATAAAATTTTAGATTATGATCAATGATTTCTCATAAGATTTTTATTTTGTTATTCATAGACCATTATTGTTTTCAAAAAAATCCATAAATTACAAGAAAAATATGAAGAATGGCATTAGCTTTTTTGAAATTATATTCATGCCTCCTATCTAACTCACCCGCTCATTTGATAGTTAAAGAAGAACACTTCAAATAGTAAGATTTAAATTATTGTTCCAAAAAATAAAAGCAATCATAGAAAATTTCTGCCCTGTTATCAATTTTTTCTCTTTACATGTTACCATAATGTTGGTCTTGTAGATTTATTAAATTGTGATCGTAGGATTTCTCAAGATTGATTGTTAATTCGTGTGGTGTCTACGACTTTGTTCCGTTGCGCAGTTTTATGCTTAACGTACATTTTATACTTAATAATCCATATTCAATTGGGCGTTCTTATCTTCTTTTTTCTTTTTAATTTTTCGTATTTACATTGTGTAGGGCCTCACTCGAAAGAAAACGCTCCCTACAAAAACTTTTTTTATACACATAACTTAAACTCAAGACCTCTGATTAAAAAACGAGCAGTTTCAACCAGCTGCACCACATATCTCTCGGTAATATTGGGTGCAAATTGTAGCACAAGTCTTGATAAATTGCGAGAATCATTTCAAATTTACGGCTGTAATCGTGGCATGATCATCGAGTTTTGTAATTGTACCCATAATCTCTTTACATTTAGTTCAACTTTAGTTAGTACTTTTTAAACTATCTCACATCAAGAGAGACCAAGGTGGCACTTTGACCATCATGTTCGTAGAGGTAATTGGGGTAGATAAATTTTCAATATATTAAAGAAAAAATAGTTCAAGTACGTATGTGCATGCATGTTCTCATGAAGATTGCAAATAATTCAACTGGTACTACAAAAAACAATAAATATATAGTATAAATTAATTTATATATATATATATATATATATAGCAAATCAAAGTAAAACATCTGAATTAATTTTGGCGAAAACCAAAAATAACAAATAAACAATAATGTAATAGAGTCGGGAGAGAGTAGTATGCAGGTCGTCTTAAACTAGAAATAAAATAAATAAAATTTTCAGCTTAGCATTCAAATACCACGATGATTTGGAAAACTTGGGAAGGAAAGTCCCATCATCGGAATAGCAAAAGAGGTATCTACTATAAATCGTCCCTCGAATGTATCAGTTGCTTGGTGTCCTTCCAATATATCATTTACCGCTAACCAGTAACATTCTTTTATTTTCTTCATACTCAAGTACTGCAATTTCTTCCCCTTTAATCCGTCTCGCCGGAAAATCTTCACTGGAGAGACTTTCTGCCGGTGTTTCTTTCCTCCGGCTTCAACCTCAACTACCGGTAACTTCTTCCGCCGGAATGACATTTTACGGCGGGCTTGACTGAATATGGATATGGAATTGGCATGGCTTTTACTTTTGTTGAAGCTATTTTGGTTCGAATAAGCCATTATTGTGTTATAAGTATTATTTCTTTTTTGTTCGAATAATTTTGTTTGTTGAGCTAATTATTTATAAGGAAATCGTGTGAATAGCGAAGAGTTGAACATGAGACGCATAATGCCTATTACTTCTGCTCAACTAATAAGTGATTTGGTTTGAGGATAGAGAGAATCATAAAATTATCGCATATATAAGATACGATATTATTATTTGAATGAATAATATAAAAAAAAAAAACAATCCAACACAAGATGATATTATATTTTGTTGATGGTACTAAACAATATTTACATTAAATTATACACGATACAACGTAGTGTGTAGTCTCTTATATATATCCCTTTTTTAAAACTGTTAGTTAGATTTTATCTAAGTTGAATATCAATCGAAAGAACCTCTTTATCTTTAGGAGATAGGATAAGATATGCATATACTTTATTCTCACATCTGGTATTATATTAGATATGTTATTGTTGTAGTATAATGTGAAATAAAAACATGTGATGAAGGAATTAAATCATTTAAAGATAACAAGTGAGACTTGCTTCAATGGTTGAACACCTTCATTATCTAGCCATTAGTTAAGAATTTGAGTCACACTAAAAAAATAAGTGGGAGAACACTTTTTTTTTTTTTTAAAAAAAAAGGTTAAACTTTGGCCCATGGCCAATTTTATTAAATTAGATCAAGTAGTCGCGTGTATTTTTTTTCCCACGATTTGTTTGTAAATACTTCTCCATTAGAGTAGGACTTTAATTTTAATTTTTATTTACACACATATTTACAACTACTAATGGACCGAAAAGGTAGACTTTTTTCTTCACCCAAAAACTGTCATATATTATTTCATTCTGGGCCTAGTATGTCCAAAGGAAAGTTCAACAGACATATTTCAAATATCTTCACAAACTATATCTATGTCCCAAGTAGTTTTTACGTTTTTCTTCAATACATCCTCTTGCCTCCTTTTGGGCCGTTAGGCTCCATAGACTCTATTAAGTCTTAATTAGCCCATTTATTAACCATACAACTTATTTAGCTCGGATTTAACTTGAAAAATATTTCTATTTGAGGATAAAATCTTTGAAATAAATATAAGAATAGATTGATATCATGATAAGAAATATACATTAATTCTACTCTACCTCAAAATCTCTATTATAAAATGAAGATTATCCAGGATCATATAAAACGTAACTGTAATATCTTAGCTTGGAATTGATAAAATGACTTTTGACGTGGCTTGATTAAAATATAATTTAAAATTTAGTTTTGATATTTTAAACTATCTCACGCCAAGAGACCAAGGTGGCTCTTTGACCCTCCTTGATGTTGGTAGTGCTTAGAATTGAATAAATTCCCAATAAATAAAAGAAAAAAAAAAGTTCAAGTATATGCATATATGATCTCATAAAAGAGAACAAATAACTCATCAAGTGGCCGGCACTCCATAGTAAATAAATTAAGATGTACATAATTCATTTGTTTCATATTTTTTAAAGCAAATCAAAGAAAGAGATTACTTCATTCCAACAAATTAATTATAAACAACAAACAATGTAATCTCACAAATGGAGTTTTGAGAGGATAGTATAGTCTTAAAATTTTCAGCTAAGCTTTCAAATAGCACGAGGATTTGGTGAAAACATAGCGGAGGAAAAGCCCATCACCGGAATAGGAAAAGAGATCTCCGTTGCAAGCTGTCGCCGGAATGTATCTACTTCTCCGTGTCCTTCTAATATGTCGTTTACAGCTGACCAATAACAATCTTTTATTTTTTTCATACCTAAGTAGTGCAATTTCTGTCCCTTCAAACCACCTCGTCGGAAAATCTTCATCGGAGAGAATTTCCGCCGCTGCTTCTTCCCTCCAGCTTCGGGTTGCACTACTGGTAACTTCTTCCGTCGGAATGACATTTTGCGGCGGGACTGACTGAATATGGATGTGGAATTGGCATTAATGCTTTTACTTTTGTTGACGCTATTTTGGTCCAAATTAGCCATAATTGTGTTATAAGTATGATTAGTGCTAATTTTTGTTCGAATAATTATGTTTGTTGAGCTAACATATATATAAAAGGAGATCATAGAGATAGAAGAATTGAATACATGAGCTGCATCATTTAATTATATCATACAAGATATGAATATTATTTGATTGAGATATATAAATAAATAATCTCAACACACGTTAATACAATATTATGTTAAGGTACTAATTAATAATTTTTGCATTAAATTATATATATAATACAACATGTAATAATCTATATATTTATCACTTAATAAAAGTTTTTAGTAGACTTTATTTAAGTGGATGATGGAGTCACATTGAAAGGCAAGTGGAAAACATGACTATTGATTTTGGTGAGGTGAAGAAGACCAATTAAAATGAAATAAATAATAAAGTAATAATTTAGAGATAAATATTCCCTTTTTGAGTAACTAATTAATTAATTTATCAATAAGATTTTCTAGGTATTAACTGTCAATTGCAATAATCCCTCACATCAATGATAATATTATAAGAGTCTATTATAAATAATTTCTATATGTAAAAACAATTCCAATATTATTAATCTCCGCATAATTTTTTCTAAGCCAAATGATCCCTAAGGTCTTTCTTCCCAACTACTTTAACAAACATTCCGCTTATCCAAAAAATAAATAAATATAGGGGTTGTATTACTAGGGGTTACAATATACATATTTTTCATATCAAAACTACTTTAACAAACATTCCGCTTATCCAAAAAATAAATAAATATAGGGGTTGTATTACTAGGGGTTACAATATACATATTTTTCATATCAAAATTTACTGTGTTGGAATCACATTTTTACACTCAAATTATTTACGAATCTTAACAAGAAACTCAACACTCTTGGTCAAGTAGTCACAGAAAATGAAAAATAATTTGGCAATAATTATGTTTTTTTCCCACAATTTATTTATATTCTCCTGAGTAATGTTATCCTCTGTATCAAAAAAACACCCCTAACTTGAAAGGAACCAGTTCAATGAAGAATTTAATTAAATAAGGAGATTTTTTCGGATAATGTTATCCCTAACTTGAAAAGGACCAATACCAAGAATCAAGATAATCTAATTAAATAATGGGATGGAAGAGTGCTTATCTTGGTCTAGGAATTAAAATATTTTAATTATTAAATTTTAAAAACTAACTTCGGAAAACATGTTCTTAAAATATCACCTACATTATCGGCCCAAAAGAGTTGTCTTTCAAATTTGTCTTTAAATATTTACAAATTAAATTGCAGTTGAAGAATTATTTTTCATGCTAAAACTTAAAAGTACTTTGACATCTGTATATTTCCACAAAAGAGTTGCAAACTACAAGTTGAATAATGTAAGTAAAGCTTGTTTGCTTTAGGTTACATGGAAAAATTTTTTATCATTATAATTATCTCATTATTTGGTTAAAATTAAAGTAAATCAATAATTTTATATTTAATTCAACCTTAAAAGTTAACTCATAAGGTGAGAATAGTCTAAAATAGTATAAAGAGATCATTACATTCCTCTAATATATAGTTGATGTAGAAACTCAACACCTTGCACGCCTAGAGCTGCTAATTGAATTGCGAATAATTTAATTTAGGAGTCCAACATCAAATAAACTAATAATAGGAACGAGTCTTACTCTAGCTAATAGATTGATATCATGATAAGAAATAGACATTAAGTCTAACGCGACCTCAAAATCTCCCTCATGAAATGAAAATTGTCTAAGATCATATATATAAATATAAAGTATCAATCAACGTTATACATAGTTGGTATGGATCGAAAACTTACTATATATATGATCATACATTTTGAATTTAATACTAAAAATGAAGAAGTTCTTGAGACAAAATGCTTCCTAGCGTTTATGAGTGTCACGTGATAATGTACATAAGAATTAATCGGAACCAATGAATACCCGAGTTAGCGATGAAAAAAAAAAACTATGTTTCCTTCTAGTCGTCTATTTCTTTTGTCATACTGCTTCTTAGCTTAGCTTGGAATTGGTGAAATGACTCTTGAAGCAGCTTGGTTAAAATATAATTTGAGGTTTAATTTTAACTTTTTAAACTACTGTATCTTTGACCCTTCGACCCTTCTTGTTGTTGGTAGCGCTTGAATTGAGTAAATTCCCAATAAATAAAAAGAAAAAAAATAGTTACTTATTTGCATGTATTATCTCATAAAGAGTGCAAATAATTCATCAAGTGGCACTACAAAAATAATAAATAAATTAAGATATTATAATTAATTTTTTAAAAGCAAATCAAAGAAAGATATCTTACTTAATATTAACGAAAAATCATAAAAAAAACAAATAAACAATAAAGTAATTCCACAAATGTCTTAAAATTTTCAGCTAAGCTTTTAAATAGCTCGAGGATTTGAAAAAATAGCGAAGGAAAAGCCCATCATCGGAATAACAAAAGAGGTCTCCACTGCAAGTTGTCGGTGGAATGTATCAACTTCTTCATGTCTTTCCAGTATGTCATTCACCGCCAACCAATAACATTCTTTTATTTTTTTCATACCTAAGTAGTGCAATTTCTGCCCCTTCAATCCGCTTCGTCGGAAAATCTTCACCGGAGAGAATTTCCGCCGCTGCTTCTTCCCTCCAGCTTCGGGTTGCACTACCGGTAACTTCTTCCTTCGGAACGACAGTTTGCGGCGGGTCTGACTGAATATGAATTTGGAATTGGCATTGCTTTTACTTTTATTGAGGCTATTTTCGTCCGAATAAGTCATTATTGTGTTAATAAGTATTAATTAGTACTACTTTTTTGTTCCAATAATTTTGTTTGTTGAATTAACATATATATATAAGGAGATCATAGAGATAGATGAGTTGAATACATGAGCTCCATTACGCCAAATACCTGTACTCACCTAACAAATGATTTGGTTTGAAGATTGAGAGAATCATACAATTATCTCATACAAGATATGAAATAATCTAAAACACAAGATGATATATTATTTGTTGACGATACTACATAATATTTGTATTAAATTATATATGATCGAGTTATACTAAAAGGTAAGTGGAGAACATGACTATTGATTTTCATGAGGCGAAGAATGAAATAAATTATACTCTAATAATTTAAAGATAAATATTTCTTTTTAGAATAATTTATTACTTTATCAATAAGAATTTTCGGGTATTTACTTACAATTATAATATAATAATCCTTCACATCAATGACAATATAAATAATTTCTATATTAGCATATAATTTTTTTCTAGGCCAAATGATCCCTAAGGTCCTTCTTCCCAACTTCTTTAACTAACATTCCATTCATTTCAAGAAAAATTAAATATGGGGATTGTAATACAAGGGTTAATTTTTTTTTAAAAAAAATTAAAATTACCAGGGGTTACAATATACATATTTTTCATATCAAAATTTACTGTTTGAATTACATTTTAACCCTTAAATTATTTACGAATCTTAACAAGAAACTCTAACACTCTTGATAAAGTAGTCACAGAAAATGAAAAACAATTTGGCAATAATTATATATTCTTTCCCACAATATGTTTATATAGTCAATCAAGTTAAATTTTTATTCACACACATATTAACAACTAATTAATTAACGGAAAAGATAGCCCTCTTGTTACCCTCCTTTTAGGCCGTTAGGCTCCATAGTCCACAGACTCGAATAAATCTTAATTAGCTAACCTTACAACTTATTTAGCTCCGATTTAACTTTTTAAAAAATTATTTGAGGATAAAATGTTTGAATAAATATAAGAACTATGTTAGGGGTGGTAAAATAGTATCTAAAGTAGGAGGAATAAATGTCGTCTGTCGAATCAAATTAAAATATTTCCTTGAATTATTTTTTTTTCTGGAAAAAAGTAACTTATTTTTCTTTTATGTATGGCACATAATTAAAAAATAATATACACCAAAATATTTGTATATTGTGAGTGGAGGGTAAGGGTGCGTGTGTTGGATGGTAATGTAAATGTCGTACGTAGGTTTTAGGGATATTTACAAAGAATATTAATTATATCTAATAAAACACATATTTAGCGACAATTAAACTATTGCCATTAATTAAATATTGCTAAAAATTATTTTTGCTATAGTGCTCATGAAATGAAGATTGTCCAAGATCATTTAATGTTTACATAGCTAGTATAAAAACTCAATATCTAATCAGAGGTCTTGATTTTGAGTGCTAAAAATAAAAAAAATCCTCAAACGAAATGTTTCCTAGCTCTTTATGAACCTTGCATAATGTAAATATGAATTAATTGAAGCAATGAATACTCAATACGAGCCGATGATGAAAAAAGTACTGTTTTCTTCTAGTTGTCTCTTTCTTTTGTCATAGTTCTTCTTAACTTAGCTTGGAATTGATGAAATGACTTTTGACACCGCTTGGTTAAATCATAATTTGAGCTTTAGTTTTGACTTTTTAAAACTATCTAACACCTTAAATAATTCATTATGTGGCACTACAATAAATAATAAATAAACTAAGATATATATAATTCATTTTTCTTAAAGCAAGTTAAAAAAAGACATCATAATTAATTTCAATAAAAATAAGAAATAACTACTAACAAACAATAAAATAATTCCACGAATGAAGTTTGAAGATGGTGGCTTCGCTTTTAGATACGACGCTGATTTGGAAAAGTAGTGAAGGAAAGTCCCATCATGGGAATAGCAAAAGAGGTAGTATCTACTACAAATCGTCGCTCGAATGTATCACTTGCTCCGTGTCCTTCCAATATGTCATTTACTGTCAACCAATAACATTCTTTTATTTTCTTCATACCTAAGTAGTGCAATTTCTTCGCCTTCAATCCGTCCCGTCGGAAAATCTTCACCGGAGAGAATTTCCGCCGCTGCTTCTTCCCTCCAGCCTCCGGCTGAACTACCGGTAACTTTTTCCCTCGGAATGACATTTTGCGGCGAGCCTGATTGAATATGGATGTGGAATTGACATGACTTTTACTTTTGTTAAGGCTATTTTGGTCTGAATAAGCCATTACTGTGTTAGCTTATAAGTATTAGTATTACTTTTTTGTTCGAATAATTATGTTTATTTAACTGACATATTTATAGGAGATCATATAGAGATAGAAGAGCTGAACATGAAATTATCTTAGGTAAGATATGATATTATTTGATTTGAGGATAAAGAGAATATATCATTAATTATTTTCATATAAGATATGATACTATTTGATTGATGTATATATAGATATATATAATCTCTAGAACAAGATAATATATATAAAAAAAAAAAACCTTTTTATTGAGATTTACAAAAATAACTTTTTTATTTCTAAGAAAATAGTAGCAAGAGAATCTAATTAATTAATAGGATTTTATCCTCCGTATCAAAATACACCCTAAGTCCCTAACTTGAAAAGGACCTATACCAAGAAAATCTAATTAATTAATGGATGAAAGTGCTTGGTCCAGCAATTGAAACATTTTAGTTATCAAATTTTAAGAAATAACTTCGTAAAATATGTTCTTAAAATATCACCTGAAAGTTGAAATCATACATACATGGAAATAAAAAGAGTGTTAAATGATTTTGCGAGATTTTTTGTTATTTTGATAAATTAATGATGACAGTTTGTTCATTATGATATCGAAATTTTATTATTGAAATTCAAAAAATATAATAGCAAAACAAATAAATTCAGACACACCATAACTGAAAATTAAGACAATTTTTGCATATATATGATAATACATCTGATGCAAATTTTCAAGCTCCGTTGCATACGTTTAGATCATTCCCAAAATGAGTAAACTTGTAAATAAATTACAAAGAGGACATAAGTTAAATGACGATCTCAAAACGGAATTTTTGCCCTTCGCCCCATATCTTCTGGTGCCAGCCCAAAATTAGAATATGTTACGGAACGCTATGTAAATCTTACAAATGGGCTTTATAGTGGCCCAACATATAAAAAATTATAAATTGCCAGAACCAAAAAGAACAAAATAGCAGAGAAAAATCTGGTTCAGGAGGAAACTGGAGTGATACTAATTCCACTCGACGAAGACAATTGTGTGATCGAGAACGAATTTGCACTTGATTTAGCATAACGGATACAGACGTCGAGATGGTTCTGGCCGTTGAAGAATCCAAACTCGGCAGCAACTCCACAAGTGTGCTATTTGCAGGAATCATATTATGGATCTCTGTGAGTGTTTTCAAATCTTTGTTTTGATTTAGAATAGAAAATAGAAATTCGATACTAGACCTTTCTATGTATATTTGCGAGTTTATGTGAAACTTTTTTCAACAGGCATTGAGTGCCAAGCTAGTGCTACGAGCCAGGAGTGCATTGTTGCTTGGGGTATGCAGTTTGTTTATCTAAATTAATTTATGCCTTGGAAAAATATTGACGGTTATTGTTCCATTATGGCTTATGAGTATATGTCTCTTGAAAGAAGCTTTCTGCTTGTCTTGTGATATTATGCATGGATATGTCATTTGTATGCGCTAGGTGATGTGTAGGTCAGTTGGTGTGCACCTTGACTAAATCCACTTGTTACCTGTCACCTCCCGCTAGCAGTAGGTACGGTAGTTGGTACCTCTATCAACCAAGGCATCATTGTATTTTTGTTTCCGCGGAGATTTAAACCCGAGATCTCATGGTTCTCAACCCACTTCATCGACCACTAGGCCATACACTTGGGTGCTAATATATTGCATATGTTATGGTGAATAAGTTATAATCAGACTTGATTCTTATTGCCTAAAGAATTATTTTCATCTGTTCTGAAAGTGCCAAGCATCCTTTGTCGGCAAAGCTCTGGCCTAGTTTTTCACTTAATAACATAAGTAATTCATTGTCTTGTGTCGTCCTCAGATTAGACATATCTATTTATGGTACACACATTCTAAGGATTAAGCATATCTGTTTGTAAATCCATCTCATCTTTTTTTTAATTCACCTTCCTTCTCCCAATCTCCCCACTCTTATTGCCAAAGAACACACATATATCTTCTCCCTCCTTTATTTTTCCATCTAATGAAACTTTTGTAATGTGTTCACCTTCTTTTGTTGTTTCTATACACAATATTCCACTTTGGTACTCCTTACACAATGTCTTCTTTCTTATTTCTATTACGACTGGTTGAGGGACTCGAGCTCAAAATATAGAAGTCAAAATATTAAAATTAAATTATAGAAGGAAAAAATAGGCCTTGAATCATAATCTAGAAGGAAACCAAAAGTTGTAACAAGATATCTCTTGTTACCAAATATGAAAGAAATTTGATCTGAATTTAATCATGGAGTCCTTTATCTTCTCGTTGATTCTTCACTTCTGTTTGGTTTTGCTCTTCCAAACCTGGCATTCTATATTTTGGGGGCTTAGAAGTATCTTCATTCATATTATCGCAGGTGTATGTAACCATGCCTTCCACTTCCACTGCATCGGTTGCTGGCTCAAAACACGTCAAGTGTGTCCATTAGGTAGTTATTCAACTGTATCTTTGGCACTGTTTAGTTGGCTTGATAACTGTATTATAATTGTTGGAACTTCCTTTCCTATATTGCAGATAATAGTGAGTGGGAATTTCAGAAGTATGGCCATTAGAGGATTCAACAATTGGCAGGAGAGGCGATTATGCTGTTGCATTGTGATGTCTTTGAATGTTAGTTTATTCTAGTAATACTTATTTGCAGTGCCTTTTGTTCTCTGTTGCTTTACGTATCTGAGTCTGCTTTGAATATCTGATAGGATTTATTAGAGAGCTGGTATCTAAATCTCATATGCTGTGTGATTCTGCTATTCGCATTACTGAAGTCAAACTTACCTATGTTGATTATATTGTTTGGATAATACTATCAACCACAACCACTAGCGTTCTGGCAGCCAATGTTATTTTACTTACAGTAGATGCTAATTATTGTATTTTCTTTTTCTTGTTCCTCTAAATTTGTTTACAGTATCTTTTGTCATTTGTTTGATGTTGCCTGTATTCACATGTTTGATACCGTAAGGCCAAGTATTTCAATAGTTATGTCAGATTTTTTACATTAACAATGGCAATAAGATGGTGCTCTCAGCCATGGTTGATTCGTGAGATCTTTTAACAATGGCACCATACACCAACATGTCTTATCTTTGATCTGGGTTGATGCATAATTGCATATGAAGTGGGATCTTAAAATGGCAATGCCAACAAGTTTCCAATTTGATAGCATGTAGGTGAATCACAACCGTTCTACCTCATAAGATTCATTCAAATCATCAAATGTATCAGGCTTACCAACATTCAGAAACAATAAAACTGGACAATGACGAAATTCTATAGGCAGATGGTCCTTCAATAATTCTTTTTTCCTTTCAGAACTTGGCCTCATGTCGGTCTTTGGAGCATCATGGATTACCTTCTGTTGCACAGTCATGATCATAGAACAGGTTAAGCAGCAGCAGAGGAGGATAGCCAATGCACTGCAATTGGACTCCTCACACTGTGGATTCCATCAGACCACTCAATTGATCCAAATGTTGATTCAAGACCCTTCACTCTCTCCGATCCAACAGTGCTAAAACTGATCTCATACGACAAACTATTCTTTTCCTCACTGAAACTGAGCTTACTCGGAGTCACCTTCACCTCCACGGACGAAGGTGCATTTACCTTTACCTTATACACAGCATTTGCATTCCGCCCAACATTTTTAACCACACGCTTGTATTTCACAACACTCTCACTCATGAAAACAACTGAGAATGATGGATAATTCAAATCCCCTGGACTAGCCAAACTATGTTCACTGCAATTCACTGAAGAAGTATCTTTCGTGAATGGTGCGATTCTGGAGGGGCCATAACCAATGGCGCATAGGAAACCTATGTAATCACTCGACTCAATGTCGTAAACCAGACCCGGATGCAGTGCTCTGTTTGGATCCACATGTCCCGACCCACGAACGAAAGGACTCGATTCTTGACCTGTGGCAAGATCCGTGATTGTTTTGCCGGAGTTGTCAACGTTGTAAGCTGTTGTCATGAGGGCTAATTTTATGGCTGCTGTGGTCCATTTAGGATAAGCCTTTCTGAGTAACGCAGCTAATCCACTTACATGAGGACAAGACATGGATGTCCCGGATATAATGTTGAATTCCACTCTTCTTTTGTCGATTTCCAAGTCTGTTGGACCAACAGCTCCGGTCCATCCAGCTAATATGTTGACTCCAGGTGCAGTAACGTCCGGTTTAAGGATCTCAGGGGTCACATAATTGGGTCCTCTGCCAGAGAACGCAGCAATGCGTGGAGCAGACGACGATTGTCCTATAACAGTTCCCTTGAAAGTGATCGTCGCTGTTGGTGATGGAACAGATTTGATGTAATCCCTGATTTTATCGCCAGCTTTTTGACCCACCATGGTCGCTGGGAGGAGATGTGCATCGGCGACGAGTTCTTCTCCAGAGTCAGCTAAGTTTGCTAGGACCATACCTGCACCGCCTGCTTGTTTCACAGCACTTCCTTTCTCTACTCTGGCATTGCCTCCTCGATCACATAATACAATTTTCCCAGCAACTTTTGAAGGGTCCAGCTTTCCTGGATAACAGAGTTGGCTGCCACAGTCGGCGGAATAAACAAGCTGTAGTTTTGCATTGCCAAGGGGATCTCCGGTATACAAGGATACACCACCAAATATTCTACCGTCTCCTAAGATAACATCCGCTGGAAACTCCCGATCTATGGTTGAAGCAGCAACAGTGAGAATCCATGGGGCAACGTTGACCGCCGTAGAAGCACCAGGACCGGAATTTCCAGCAGAGCAAGAGACGACAACGCCATGTTCTGAGGCACCAAAAGCTCCAATAGCAATGGAGTCAACATCATACTCAGGAGAATAACCATCTGCGCCAACAGAGAGAGAAATCACGTGAACCCCGTCCGCAACAGCTTGATCCATTGCAGCCAGTATATCAGAATCAAAACACCCTGTTTTCCAGCAGATCTTATAGGCTGCTATTCTAGCTTTTACGGCCATACCTCTAGCTTCACCTTTTGCATATTGGTAAAAGCTCGCATTGGCTACAACAGATCCAGCTGCAGTTGAAGCAGTGTGAGTTCCATGGCCTTCAGTATCTCTTGGCGATTTGGATTCTTTAGATTCATCCATTGGACTTCCACGATCAGCTTCATATCCTTTGTAAAACAATCTAGCACCTATGATTTTACGATTACATGAAGTTGCAGGAAAGTCCGGGCCACTCTCGCATTTCCCTTTCCAATCTGAAGGCACCGGTGAAAGCCCCTTGTCGGAAAAGCTCGGCCTTTCTGGCCAAATACCCGTGTCAAGGACCCCAACAATAACATTATCAGCATAATCAGAATTGGGCCAAATCCCAAATGAGTCTTCAAGGCCTAAGAAGGTAGGTGTGTGAGTGGTATGAAGTCTGCGTACGCGATCAGGGATGACGGAGACCACACCGGGAACGCGGCTGAGCTGGTCAGCCTGCCCGGATGTAAGGCGGGCAGAGAAGCCACGGGCAGCACGATCATAAGAATACAAGATATTGGGAGAGTGTTGAGAGACTGATCGGAGAATAGAGGAGTACCAATGATGGTGAGTAGTGAAAATAAGAGGCTTGTGGGATATGGACACGTGGACTATGAAAGTTTTAGGACCATCCGATTTGACTGAAATTGCCAATGAGCTGAGAAAGAGGAAGACTAGGGGGAAGAAAGAAGAAGAAGAAAGTGCCATCGCTAAAGAGAAACTAGTTTCTGGGAAGATAAGAGAGATATTTGATGGGCTTTATTGTGCCACGTTATAGATAGTTGTTGGTTCATTTTCAGTCCTTTTGGCAATTCCCAAATAACCATGTAAGTTTTCTCGTGTAAAGAAGGATGGAAGGGTAGCTCACGTGGGTAGGTAAGAGATATGATGTTCAGAAAAAGATATTTAGATAGTATCTGATAGGCATTAGTTATTAATCCACGTTTTCTCACATTATTGCCCGTACTAGGAGTATTTTATTTTTTGGAATTGGAGTGTCGTGAATCATGCCAATGATGCTTCTGCTATTTCATTACTCAAAAAACTATTTGTGAGATCATCCTAATTGACTCCAGGTAGTGGAATAATCTGCTAGGAGATTCAAACACAAGACCATTAAGCTCATTTGAGGCGCCTGAAACCAACAGTCTATTATGTCAAAGGAGTTCAAAACATGTTATTTAATAATTTTTTATTTCATTTTATTTATATATACAATATTTTTTTTCTGACAAATTGGACATCCTGACATCAATGTAGCTCCCCCCTGCTGTTGTATGTGATGAATTAAACACAACATTAATTAGTTGTCATTTAGTGAAATTGTGAATACATATATGTAGTGTATTCATTGGTTTGATATAAGTATCAAACATGGGTTCAATAATTAATTTGATCCGTGTTTGAAAATCTCACTTTGGAGTAGTAAAACGTTTTCTCTATTAAATATAACTTCAGTTTTTGAGCCCGTATTTGAAATTTCTGATTAAAGAATAAAAGTTATTTACTACCGGCAAAAAGTAGATTTATTTTTTCGTTGTGTTGAGCGGCACCAAATTGGAAGGGAAGTGATTCATATGACAAAATGGGTCAAGAAACTGATGACCACAATCATGGACCAGTGGGATTTTGCCATAAACTAGGGACGAAAGCAGGTATCAAATTATGCAATGCAATAACGAAATTATTTTATTTGTCATTGCGGCATGTGTATATTCCTTATACGAGTTACACTAGTATTTTAACCATTAAATGTTCTTGATTATTACGTGATTTATGCCCAATATATATATATATATATTCTACTATATAATAAAAGGGAGTTTATGCCCAAGTATAATATATAATATTCAAGATTGAGACTTTTCCCAATCTTGAATATTATATATTATACTTGGGCATAAACTCCCTTTTAAAAGTCTCAATCTTAAATATTATATATTATATTTGGGCATAAACTCCCTTTTAAAATAATATATATATGTCACAGATGGAAAAGTCCCAATCAAGGAAGCAACATATATCATTTACAAATGATTTAAAAAGCATTAAAATTACAATAATTACCAATTTAAAATATTTAAAAGCTATATAATAAAATAGGTTGACTCTCAGAATTCTATCAGGCTCACATACATTGGGACAGAAAAAATAACACATATCATTTTAAAATTGCCAAAAAAGTATTATAAATAATAATAATTAGCAACTTAAAATATCTGAAAGACATTTTAAAATGGTTAATTTTGTAATTTTATCCATATCACATAAATTATGACAAAGTGACCAGTAATGTACGTTATTTGAAAGTTACATAAAAATATTATAAATCACAATAATTAATAACTTAAAACATTTTTAAAAAAAATATGAAAATTTGGATGACTCTCCAAATTTCATTTGTGTCACATAAATTGAGCCAACAAAAATAACATATATTGGGTCCATTTTAATTTATTTGTCTTATTTTTTTTAGTTTTTTTTATATTTAAAAAATGCGTAAAAATACTATAAATCATGATAATTGACAACATAAAATATGTTTTGAAAAAAATACAAAAAAATCCACTGATTCTTGAAGTGAATCTATCGTAAAAATACTATAAATCATGATAATTGACAACATAAAATATTTCAAAAATGTTGTATGTGGATAGTCTTATTATGCCTTAAATAGCGTCAAAGAAAGTACAAGTTTGTGATAATAAAAACTTCTTCCTTTATCCACGCAAACAATCGCTTCAAAAACTCCGTTATTAGCCCCAAAACATACCATTTATATTATTGGACCCGTGCATAGCACAAGCAACATTATCTAGTAGTATATAATAAAGGAGAATAGTTTGTAATGAGATTTTGCCAAGTGGCAAATTAATGAAATGCCACTTGGCAATTTAAGATTAATTTAATAAATATTGTTATAAAAAATTGAATTTTTAATTTGTAATTAAAAAATATTTATTAACTAGATTTACATATAAGAAATAATAATTACTACAGTAAAAAAGTTCTAACTAATTTCAGACTCCCTATTTTAATAAACTTTTAACATCACGAAAGTAGTTCCTAAATAAAAGGTATAGAGAAGAAAATTCATTTGTAAAATTAAAAATTAAAATATGAAGATAAATACCCTTCGGGTGGTCCAGTGGTTTGGGCTTAGAACTTCCTGGATCGAACTCATTGCACCGGGCTTGCCTAGTGCGGGTTACCTCTCCTATGTGGTTTGCGAGTTATTGCATAGAAGCGAGAGTTTTGTTCTATGCGCACCCAAAAAATAGCGGCTGCAGGTTTCCTTATCATTAAAAAAAATATGAAAATAAATCCAGCTTCTCAATAAATAGCAAGATAGTGAAATAATTAAGGTTTTACCCAAATTAATCCTAACACCATTCTCATGAAAAAGAACTACTCTTGTGTAGCTTCTAAAATAATACAAAGAGGTCCCAAAATGTTTCAAAAGGTCCATTCAAGACCTTACTTTCATTAGGCGAGAATAAGCTGTCTATATGGGCTAGCCCACCCATCCGGGCTAGCCCACCCCATCCGGGCTAATTCATACAGGCTTTGACATTTTACGGGTCAGGCCAGGCTAGCCCATTTTTGATGTGGGGCAGAAAATGGTCTGCCCAACCCACAAGTACGTGGGCTACAGGCTTGTTGGGCCAGCCCACTTTTTTAAAAGTTATATATTTCTTTATAATTATTAAATTAAATTATAAATTATAATTTAAAAATATTATCATAAATATCAACAAAACAATATTACATGGTGTTAATGTTACTATTTGTTAATCAAATCCACAAATAAAATTATCTTTTATAATATTTATTAAGTTTTTTTTCGAGTAAAAGTATAAATATCTAAATAGAAATATTAACCTAATTGTTTTGCAATGATCACAATAAAACTCAAAAAATATGACAATATTCCAACCATAAAAAAGTAAAAAATAAACTCCTTAAAAAATCATGAAACTTATGGTGTATCTAACACTTCATGAAACATATGACGTATCTAACACTTCATAATCATCTTCATCAAGCATATCTGAATCAACTTGTGGGAAGATTGTCTTAACATCTTCATTTCCATCTGCAATTTATATGTGGTTTCAATTAGTTAAATATTAAAAAATAACTAAATTGAGAATTATAATATTTAAATGTACACAAAAATATATTACCAGTTTGAGAAAAATCATGTAACCAGTTTCGAGTAGCAACAAGTGTTTGAACATTTTCACGGTGGATGCAACTTCTATACATAGTGATTTCCTAAAAAACTTTAAATAGATTTTGAGTTTGGATCTCTTTAATTTTAAATTTTAATTAATTTTTATTGGCCCACGGGACGATCCTACCTATATTTCTCAAGTCCCACAAATCAGCTGGCTTATTCAAGTCGTGCTAAAAAGCTTTTTTTTTAAATGGGCTCCAAAATTTTTAGCCCAACCCTATTAAATTCCGGATTAAGCCAGGCCGGCCCAACAGGCCTAGCCCATATTGACGGCTCTAAGCGAGATAGTACCAAATCAGAATAAAACCAATCAATTAGGATCACTTATATATACATTAAATAGAAAAAATGAAATCGCTAATACCAAATTTTCCATACTCTAATTCTTTGTACTTATCATATGATTTGAAAGATAACGTCTCTACTCATACCAAGAACACATCCGTGTGCGTGACTCGACACTTCTCTTTCTCTACGTCTCTTCTACTACTATACTATATACTATTTCTTCCAGTGAGTTGGATCGCCACTTCTATCGCATTTCATTATTTCTTCATTCTCTATCTATTCCTCCATTGTGTGAAATCATGACTAGTTTCACGAAGAAAGAGTACGAATTCCTCAAAGAGCTCGGAATTGGCCCTCAAAATCTCGGTTGTTATGTTAATGGCACCTGGAAAGCTACTGGCCCCGTCATTTCCACTGTTAATCCTGCTAACAACCAGGTTTGTTCTTAATTTCACTTATCCTCTCCAATTTCCCCAACTTTTTTTTTGGTAGGGTTTTTGATCTTCACTGATTATAAGTCGCAAACTGATCGGTTTCGTTTCATTAAATTAATATATGTATGATTTAAACTGTATAATGTATACAGATCATTGCCGAAGTTGTCGAAGCTTCTGCTCAAGATTATGAGGAAGGCATGTCAGCTTGCGCTGAAGCAGCTAAGATTTGGGTGCAGGTATGTTCAGCACTCACTGAAATCATAAATCTATCTTCCCGTTGCATATTAGATAAGAATTGGTGGCATTTAGTTTGGGGATCAATTTTTCTACTATGATGATGGTGTATTATGTTGCAGGTTCCTGCACCAAAAAGAGGTGAGATTGTTAGACAGATAGGTGATGCACTCCGAGCGAACCTTCAGGAATTTGGTCGACTTGTTTCACTTGAAATGGGAAAGATACTCCCAGAAGGAATTGGGGAGGTTCAAGTATGTAATGTCACGATTCACTATAGAGCTATGGAGTGTCCTAAAATTTTTTGAAAAACAGCTTTACAATTGGAAACTTTTTTGTGGCTTAAATCTGCAGGAAGTCATTGATATGTGTGATTTTGCTGTGGGATTGAGTCGACAACTGAATGGATCCGTTATTCCTTCTGAACGTGAGTTCGCTTCCTTGCTACGTTGCTTTCAGAATAGCCGAATTTGCAATTTTAAGCAGTTTTTTTTGCAATTGTAATTTCT